GCTCCCTGGCTGGGGACCTCGGGATGATCGTAACCGATGGTTAGCTACACTGAGTGATATATGTCGCAAACAGTGGCGATCGTGCTTCTACTCATTATTATTGCAACCTCAGTCTATATGAATTCTCTAGCTTCCACTTAAATTTGTTCTCAACATTCCAATCTCCAATGGGCGGCCAAAAGACAGCAACCAAAACCGACGCACCAAAGGGCATGTCTAGTGGTTATAAAAACTGAAACTGAACACTCCCGGGATCTCAGTGAGGGCGAACAGAACGACTCCAACACCAAACAACTGTCGCGAAAAATTAAAAAAAAACAGATACCGAAGCAAGACACCTCAATCGACACTCCAATCACAATGACCCAGTACATAGTCTGGTACCGAAATATTCAAAGTCAACAAAGAAAGCTTACAATACAAACAACCATGAATTAAAACGTAACCCCGGGGCGGACAGATGTGCTCTGTGACAGCGGAGAAATCATCCAAAGTCCGATAGTTATTCGCCGATAAAGACGATGAATAGAACTCATTTCTCTGAATGACATAAACCCATCCGAGTTACTTAATAGAAAAAAAACGAGCTGAAACAGATTAACGAACTGTTCGACCTATATTTTGTACACCGTTTCCAAAACATGTGGCAACAAGCAAATCTGGTGTGGAATCATCAACTTCTGGTACATCCATTTCCACTTCCGTTCCATTTGCGGGTTCCGTAGCTGTTGACGTGTCTGCTTCGTTTTCTTTCGACGGCACCAGGGGTTCCTGAACCGAGGACGCTTTGCGATAGTCAAAGTGAAAAGTGACCTGAAATGTGTATTTGTGCGGGGAGAGAGAAGTTAATACAAGAACAAACTCGCAAAGGCTATGAAACCTCACGTTTCGGGTGTCGATGGATGAGATATCTATCTGTGAATAGCTAAAAATGGACAGAAAAGTACAAATTCCTTTGAACAAACCGCACGAATTTATGAGACGGGGAGAAGATGTAACTCATGAAATACAATCACAGAGGATTACATAAAGGTGTTTGATGGGTAATTGATCTGTGTGCTGCCACAAAGACACCCAAACCGATTCATTGCACGATTGAAACCATCGCTATGTTGAGAGAGATGAGGATGCAGTGTTTCCCAGACCCATTGGTATTTGCCAAAAGTCGGTTCGAATAGTAAGGTTGACCTCCAATTCGGTGGAGATTTCAAAGATTGCCCGCCTAGCTGTTGTGGCCTACAAGTGACTGATACATAAACTGAAAAGCTAGGTAGCACTGGACAGCTGTTTCGACCTGGTTGGGTCTCATCCGCACAGAGCGAATCCATCAACTCAACTGGGGATCGAACCCGGAACCTTAATGGGCTAGTTAGCTTCTCAGTTCACGATTCATTTGCTATATACACGATGAATTCACCGTTCATTCTTCAAATGAAGATTGTTCTTGTTAGTTTCTGTCTCAGTTTCATAAAACCGAATATGACTGATCCTGCCATCGGAACTTACGCTTGGTCCGTGTTACTCGTGTGATTTGGGGTGGGATTGAGAGAGAGAGTGGAGGAGGAGGTGGGGTTGGGGAAGATGAGGAGGAGGATGGGAGGTGGAGGAGGGTCTTGGTTGGTTGAGTGACTTCACAAACTGTTTTTTGGGCGCACGAAGGGGGGGGGTGGTTATGTAGACGAAGTCCAACCGCCTCTGCGGTGGCTAGGATGCGGTTTTCAACCGGCTTCGATCTGCGACCCCGAACACAGTAGAGGTCGAAATGCTTCAGTCACGCTCACTGTGTGACCGGACTAGACGAGGTGTGAAACGATGGCATCTGTAGACTAAATATGAAGATGAATTCCGCAGGCCAATTGGTTGATTCAAAGTAGTGTGTCCTTCGCCGATCGTTTTCGCTAAATTAAACCTACTATTATTATTACTACCATTACTACTACTACTACTACTACTAATAATAATAATATAATAATATTAATAATAGTACTCGGAATAATAAATAATAGGAAAACATGGAATATTAGGTTAGCGTAGAAACAAATCAACTGAGAATTCTGCTGCATCAAATTTACCTGCAAAAGATAGCCGATTTTTTCATCCAACTCTTGCCAACCGGCGCTACTGGTACCACCGTCCGTCTGTCTAACACCGACACAACCGATTTTCATCAGCTTGTTACTGCCAGACTCGTTCCGAGTCGGTTTGGGTGAGCTAGTCACATCCGAATTACTTTGCAACTTCATAAATGCATTTCGAAACGGGGATGGCTCCAATTCCACATAGATATGCACAATCTGGTCTCCTTTTGCACAATATCGGGTGGATAAATCTGATCAGATTGGTTACAAACAAGCGGGGAGAATTTTTTGTAAAACCTGCCTTGAGGACCGAAACGCACGGCGAATATAATTCTCTAACCGACATAGCTGTGTTATTAACATTATAACATTCACAAAAAAAAGAATATTCAAGTTTTGTTTTGTGTAACTTTAAAAATCAGCAACCGATTTAACTGGGAATCGAACAAAACAAAATTTGGATACATTGGACTTCAATAAATTAGTAGAGCATAGTTTGAAAATAACAGTATCAAAACAACTATTTTTGAGCACTGCTCTCACTTGAATTGTTAAACATCGGGCCTGAACACGTGACATTTTGTGAAAACCAATTTTGGAAAGTTATCTTGGTTTATTCACGTGTTCTGTACCGCATGACATGTAGAAGGCAGATAGAGGTGTGCACTGATCGAACGCATATGATTTTGTGAATGGTTTATGCCCTTCTCCTCTAGACTCCAGATATGCTTCAGGAAACTATTCATTTTGATTTGGTTTTAGCGGGTAGATGATCACCTTGTTTCGTTGTTTCAGCTGCAGAGGCGGTAGTGGCGGTGCACTGGTTTATTCATTGTCACCGGTGTGCTTTGAACCCCGTGGTTCTAGGTTCGAGCCCCCCCCCACCGTCACTCTACCTAGGTGGTAGACAACTTTGCTGTCGCCCGGTTCAATACCACGCCTAACCTATCCGGGGCCTTATGTGGTTCGACACTCCAAGTCCTGCGGGGCTTAGGTTGCCGGTTACCATTAATGAACAGCACGCGTTCGTGACTATGGGGTTCTATCCCGTCTGCTGTCCATCACACACCGGTTTGTAATATAAAAAATGTGAAATTTCGTATGGCTCTCGTCTTATTCATTTTAGGTTTCCTTGCTAGCCATTTCAGTTCCAGTTCTATGTTTTATCCCAGTGAGTCC